TAAATTACATCAATATAATAAATGTACTCAATATATTCTTCAATAAGCTGAGCTATTAACAGTAACTGGGTATACACTACACTATATAATGAATACCATATAGTAAACCAATAAAAACTAAAATATAAACTACTTCAATGTTTTCAATAAACTATATATTCTCCAATCAGCTAAGCTACCAACAATAAGTCGTTATATATCACAATGCTATATGGTGAAAAAATGGGTGGATTCTTACCCTCAACTTCAGCACCACGGATAGCTACGAGCCCCGTTCAGACGGACGAGTTCATCCATGATCGGAACGGAGGAGGGGGAGAGAGACAGCTGCGAGGTGCTGTTATACTCCATGTTGTAAACCATACCATTAACCGTGGTGTGAGAGGTATTAAGAGTCAATGCCAGCGAAAGAGCTGCGGTCTGAAGGTCATCGTAAAATACAATTAATAAAGAACCGAAATGGTTTAAAACATCTTTCCAATGGTTACTAAGCCAGAATCCATCTTCTTGGTTTAAATTGTCTCTGTGCTTGTATATGTGAATGGCCTCATGAACGAATCTCTCATGGTAGCCGGTTGGTTTGCAAAGAACCTCCGTCTTGGAGAAGTCAATGTCATGTGAGCCCAGTGAATTATAACAGTGATCTGTCATGGCAGAGGAGTTCGTTCTACCGTGTTTCAAGTCTGCTTTATGTTCGCGGATGCGGTCCGAGATATGTCGTTTGGTTTCTCCAATGTAGCTACTACCACAGAGGCACTTTAGTTTGTAAACGCCCGGGTACTGTATGTCTGGAACAGCATCTTTTACAGATGGGACCAGATCACGGATTTTATGTACTGTGTTGAATCGGACCTGGATCTTGTGTTTATTCAGGATTTTGGAGATCTTTTTAGTGACCCCTGCAATGTAGGGCAAGGTGATGGTTTTCAGTGGCTCCACAAGAGGATCCATCTTCATGACTGGAGTGATGGCTTTGCGGATTGTGTAGTCGGAGTAACCATTAGCCCTGAGAGCCTGGTGTACGTGCTTGAGTTCACTGGTAATGTGTTCCTAGTAGGAAATGCATTGGGCTCTATGGTATAGAGTCTTGATGAGGGAGTTCTTCTGGGATGGATGGTGGTGGGAATCCGGTTTCAAGTAAGCATCTGTATGGGTAGCTTTCCTGTAGACAGAGTGGCTCATTGAACCATCATGTCTCCTTTTAATTAAGACATCCAAAAAGGGTAGTTTGCCATCTTTTTCGACCTCCATGGTAAATCTGATGGCTGGGTGTATGGAATTGATGTGGTCGCGGAATTGGTCTAGAGCAGGCTGGCCATGTGGCCAGATGACAAAAGTGTCATCCACGTACCTCTTCCATGAAGTCGGGCGTAGAGTGGCAGTCTGGATGGCGTCAGTTTCAAATTTTTCCATGAATACGTTGGCTACAACCGGAGATAGGGGGGAGCCCATTGGGGTGCCCTCAGTTTGTTTGTAGAAAGTTCCATTCCAGGTGAAGTATGTGTTGGTTAAGCAATGTCTCACCAGGGTGGGTACATAAGTATGCAGTCCTTGATGAACCAGGTCTTCAATGATAGCGATGGTGTCAGGTACCGGGACTTTGATGAACAAGGACATCACATCAAAACTGACAAGCAGGTCGTCTGGGGACAGGGAAATGTCTTTGATTGTCGATACCAGGTGAGTAGAATTTAGTACCGCAGAGATGTTTTTCCAGTGAAAGGTCGCAGTATATCAGCAAGAAAACGTGCCAGTTTATAGGTGGGGGAGTTGATAGTAGAGACGATGGGACGAAGGGGTGTATCTTCTTTTTTCACATCGGTTTACTATATGATAGTCGAGTTGTTGCAGCCCCTTTGGCATCCATGTACTAGGTGACTGTAGATGTGTACGCTTTGACTTTAACATAGCTATTTCTTTTACCAGTCACTAGCTAATCCCTCAGTTATTTCAATGCTAAATTATCCTCTTTGATTTATACTAGGTGCCTCTGTGGATGCGTAGGCTTTGACTTTAACATATCCATTTCTGTGACCAGTCACAAGCTAATCACTCAGCTATTTCAATGCTAAATTCTCCTGTTTGATTTGTACTAGGTGCCTTTGTGGATGTGTAGGCTTTGACTTTAACATAGCTATTTCTATGACCAGTCACAAGCTAATCACTCAGTTATCTCAATGCTAAATTCTCCTGTTTGATTTGTACTAGGTGCCTCTGTGGATGTGTAGGCTTTGACTTTAACATAGCCATTTTTGTGGCCAGTCACAAGCTAATCACTCAGCTATTTCAATGCTAAATTATCCTGTTTGATTTGTACTAGGTGCCTCTGTGGATGTGTAAGCTTTGACTTTAACATAGCTATTTCTATGACCAGTCACAAGCTAATCACTCAGCTATTTCAATGCTAAATTCTCCTGTTTTATTTGTAAACTTCTTTGTCAAGGTGCCTCACTCCTCTAAAACAGCTTAAAAAGACGCTACGAATCTTAACAACGTTCATTGAAGCTCTGTCGTCCCGACAGGTCTGTTCCTTTCACCTGAAGAAGGCCACTTGTGTTGTGGCCGAAACGTCGTGAGAATTTTATTGTGTTATTTTATATTATTAATTTATTATTTTATTCTCATTCTACGTGACTTTACCGAAAGAACCAAAGAAGATTAATCCTTGCAGTCACGAAAGCTTTAAATCGAAATGTGTGGTGGGTGTTCTGTTAATCCGGTTTCCACATGCAATGAAATTGGCCAAACATCGCAATGTAGCAACCACTTTGGAAAATATCTCGCCTTTCCTGGATGTATGACATTATTTTTTCAGGTTTTATAGTCCATGTCTTTCATCACTATATGATCATCTTTTTCATTGTTCGTTTCTAAGAATGCAATCATTCAAACCTGCCCCAAAATACACTTGCCAATTCGATGAATTGGTAAATATTGCAGCTTCTAATGCCTACGGAGGTCATGATTTCGTAAAACGCGGAACATATACAAATAAACAAAAACAGGTGACACGGTTCGGTGCAGCTTTAGAATCTACATGAATAATTAATTGGAATTGTTGTTGCACACTTCTTGTTTTATTTCTGCTCTGTGGCCGACACTGGACAGTTCATATTATTCGTGGTACGTTGGGTAGTGTTTTATTCGAATTGCTTCTGCCTCAAAAGTACAGAAAATGGCTATTATTCCCCACAAACTTTTGGGGGGGGGGGCATTATGCGAGCCCATTGTGTGTACTAAAATATCCATACCAACGGTAATCCCTATTAAATTATGGCGACCTGTATAGGTATGCATTTAAACAATGTGTTATTTGATGATTCGCCTCCAAGCAGCACTAAGTCTGTGCTATCCGAACGGTTAAAATAATTTTTATTTCTCTCAATTTCGATAGATCCTCTAATTAGTCTTGGCCAGTAGTAACTAGTTTTGCACAGAACTTCAACATTATCTAAATTAATTGAGTGTCCTTGTTGGCACCCGTGTTCTGCCAATGTTGATAGTTATATTTTGCAGTTTTAGATATTTCTTTGGTGTTCTTTTAGTCTCGTGGTGATTATTCGTCCTGTTTGCTCAACATAGCATTTGCCACAAGTGCAATTAATCTGGTACACACCTTCTGTTGATAGCTTTGGTAATACATCTTTTGCACCAGATATGCATTTCTGTAATGTATATACCGTGCCAAATCTGACTCGGATGTTTTGTTTTTACAAAAACATCTGGCTAGTTTATCAGTTACTCCTGCAATGTACGGTATTTTAATAATTTAAATTACTTGGTCAGTTTCAATGCTCGTTATTTGATTTGGTTTTGGCATTCAATTCCCTGTTGATTTGTGCATCATTGTAACCATTCAATTGCAGCGCGTCTTAAACATGTTTCATTTAACTTCTCAAACTATCACCATCTGACACTTTCTTATCCCGATGTATGAGCGCCTTGATATGAGCGGATTTCTGTGCGGGATGATGGTGGACTAAAGCAAGTTGTAATTATTGGCGAAACGTCGTACTTAGATTGTAAATGTGGCTTGGCTCTCCAACACACAGGTGTGCTGTACTAGTAACGAATTGGCCACGTTCTGTTTACGTGACAAACCTTACTAATTGTTGTGTCGGGTGGTGGCGGGTTCAACAACACATATTTATACGCGATTTAACCCAAAAGACCCGTATTATGGATATTGGTCGCGAAAGCCTACGTGTTAAACTGACAATAATCAATGTATTAAATTATTAATAAATGCATCGTTATACTTCTAAGAAAAAGGGCACAGACCAGGGGGAGTTAAAACCAATAACCTGATGCGATGCATCGTTTTGCGCTGTTGCGATAGCAGAAATAAATATCAGTCCACAGATGTTCGGAGAAATGTTTCATATACTGTACTGTAACAATATTTAAAGTCGTCGAACACAATACAGGTTTTGAAATGATTGGGTCTCATCAGCAGCAATCGTGGCTGCATAATGAATGAAACCGTTCCATAGTTTCTCTGCTCAGGTGGAACGATTGCTGCTGTGAAACATGGTTCCGGAAGGCACATAAGCTGATGTGCTAAAACACATTTTTTTTGTTTTAATCCGGACAAACATCCTTGTGTTGTCTGTTAATCCATGTTACTAATTGATGGAATAAGTCAAAACATGCCCAGACATGCCTGCTATTTTAGGACCCTCTTGAAAAGTAGTTTTGAGACTCGGTGAGGCTCTACCTGGATACACTCAGGACTTTATTATTGTGTTCGTGTGTGTTTTATTTGGTTGTTATTCTCTTGCGGTCATGGAGTGTCGCTGGTAGGGTCAGAGTAATTGGTGTGTCGGCACTGGAGGACGAGGAGAGCTTTAGAGAGGGTAGGGGGAAGTGCTCTTCAGTAGTATGCTTGTAAAGTGGATGTTAATTCGAGAAGAGACCACCAACGAGACAGTTAAAGCAAACGAGTCTGGACAAATAAACGAGAAAATACAAACTTGACAGTCAAGACAAGCTGCGACAAACCACCATGGACTCCTGAATGATACCGCAACCCCTCATCGTGGCAATGAATCACATCGTGCGTCGTGGAGGGTGGCGGCCGGGATAGCTGTTCACTGCTCGGGCTGTGTCTGTGTGGGTACGTGGGGAGGCTGGAGCCAGTGCGGGACACGGTGGGAGGGAGAGAAAAGGGAGGGAGTGGGAGACCCCCCCTTGTGACGTGCTCCCTGCGCCGGGATGGGGTTGGGCGCCAGAGCCGCTCCCCCACATCCAGGGATCAACCCATTCTCTCCGGCGGGGGGGGGGGGGTTGGGATCGGCGCGAGCCTCAGCCAGGCTTATCCACATCACGGCGGCGTCTCTCCGCCATCGGCATCACCACCGCCATCGCTACCACGGCGCGCTCGTGACGCTTCGGAATTACCAGGGGTCACCTCCACCCTCCTCTACTCCCATCCCATCCTCCCTCCCGTCTCACACCCCTGCCCACCACCACCACCACCCAACCGACCCCTCTCTACCGCCCACTTCCACACCCCGCTCCACGCCCCCGTTGTCTTTGCCAGAATAAAAGCAAAGAAACTTTGAATTTGGCTTCATCGCGGGCGCGCACGTGGGATTGAGGCTCGCGTCTCTGCGCACAGCGTTGAACGGCTACAGAATTTCGACTTTTTTATTCGTTTTTGTTGTTTTGTTTTAACACATTTCGTGGCTCAACTTTTCCGAAGCTCTGCCATTCTGTAGACAGTAGCGTTGCTGGAATTCACAATTCAGCGCAGCCGACAAATTTAGCCGGTCACTCCTGCCAGCCACCCTCTAATTCAACCAGGCAGGATAATACAAGAAAGTCACCGCATCCAATACGGAAAACGCAGGCACGAGGGGACGAGCGAACAGAAGCGCTCTTGCTCGCGTGGAGTGGGAGAAGACAGAGGACGGAATCGACGCGCTCCAAAGCCTTCATCAGCACCAACGCCGTTGTTATCCAACGCCTCTTTCACTCTAATTGTAGCGCAGCACCTGGACTTTACAACATTAATCACTCGGTGCAGCAAGCGCTGCACCGAGTGATGTGAATGTGTTGCGGACACTGCGCGACTGGGAGCTCTTTCCGTGTTGACTGGAACCCGCAAACGCTCTGCGTGCCGCCTGCCTCGCACTCCTCCCTCCGTCTCTCCCCCTCGTCTCTCTCTCTCTCCGCCCTTCCGTCGCCTCCCAACGTCTCTCGGGAGGACCCACAGCGCGGCTGCTTCAGAGACGCCGCTTGTGCGATGGAGGTCATCGCGTGTGTCGCTCTCGTTGTGATCTTCCTGACAGCGGCCGGGGCAGCTAGGAGCGGTGAGTGAGCAGCACACGCACTCGCTCATTTACGCCGACACACGCTCGCACGCACGCACGCACCGGCACATTTAGCGTGTTCGCCGAAAATCTCCAGCACCTTTAGAGCCTCTTGGGGGCAAGTGTGCATCTGTTGAGGCCACCACTCCGCACGCCCAGCGACCGTCTTTGCCTCAATGTAAGGCTGGGTCGAACTCGTGGAGGTGTAGGGGAGGTTTGGATAACAGTTGCGACTGTTTGATCTTTGGTCGGGAGTTGAGCTCAGAATGCCTGGGTGTATAGCGCTGTGCTCTAATCACTGCGCCGCCACTTCTCGCGGGCACATGTGCGAACCCACGTGTCCCTAAGAATGCGTATGCACATATACACACGGACACAGCTATGAATGCGAACACATACATATACAAGCAATCATACACGAAAACATATGAACATAAGCACACGTACTGTTTAGAGACATGAAAACAATAAAGACAAACAAAGATCCACCCTATAGCCTTAGAATACGTTTTTGTTATGTATTGTCTGTCAGTAAGTACCTGTGAAGGCCGGCACGGCACACGAGGGTGGTCAGCACCACACCCGGCGGCCTTTGTATCCCTAGCGGCGATGTTTACACATCACACCGAGTACTTAATTAAGGCTGAATAGACCTAGGGGAGGCCCAGGACAGGTTCAGATCATCGTGAATGGTGTTGGCCGTGAGCGGGACTCGAACTCGGGTCGCTGGGTTTGTAGCGGAGCGCGCTTACCGCTACCCTACTAGTGTACGTGAGCCAATATACATATACACAAACACATGCATGAAGGATACGATGTGCTCACACATTCGCACATGCATATACACACGAACACACATACACACATATACACACATCCACAAACGCACGTACGAACACAACACAAACGCGCAAGCATGAAGCAACTCCGCGGATATTCGATCGCTCATTCACGCGTACGTGCGCACATACATACGGACACACACACACACACGCGTGCATGCACACACACACACGGACTCTCAACAGAAATACCTTTACGGAGCGAGCGCGTACGCTGCGCATACTCAAACAGAAACAATGTGCTTGGGGAATTAGAGCATTCTTTTTGCGCTAAAACCCCCCGTTCAAATATAAACCGCATTAGCTCACGGCACACGCAAGACGTGCAGAGACGTGCAAAGAAGTGGAAAGACAAAGATCCCCCTTATCGTCTTTTACAGACTTTTGGGGCAAGTGCTGTTTAAAGTACACTTATTAAACCCGGAGGGGGTGGATGGCCAGCGCCACGCCTGGCCGCCTTTGTCTCCCTAATGACGATTATTGCACACCGTACCAGGTACTCATTTGAGGCTGAGTCTACCTAGGGGGGGGGGGTAGGGGAAAGTTCCGGTTTAGATAATCGTCACTGGTGGTATAGTGGCCGTGAGCGGGAAATGAACTCGCGTCGCCGGGTTCGGTGCGCAGCGCGCTAACCGCTGCCCCACCGTTCCCCACACACTCACGTACCCGCACGCGCACACACTCCCGCCAATCATTCTCTGCAAGCCTCTCGACCAGACCATAGCACATCACTCAAGTATACTTACTTTAACTCCTTCTAATTGTGAGTCTTGTAGCGTTCTTTGTGTGTGCGTGCGTATAATAACAAAACAACAACAACAACACATTCTCAGAAAAAATGAATGCGTCATTATTTAATCCAGACGTGGCTTTGTGCCGTTGTCTTGTAGATATAACGAGAGCGGCGTAATGAGCGTGCCGTGCCTGTGTGCCTGATTATAGCGGCTCAGGTTACAAGAAACCGAGCGAACGGCTGGTTCACGGGGACCCCCCATGGAGAGAGCGAAAATGGGATGGGATGATGGATCCCTGCACGGGATGAGAGCAATTTCAGGGTATCATCGTCAATGGTCGCACAGCCCTCACCCCAGACCATATGAACTTGTGGCGGCAGTGGGGAGATACATGAAGTGGGTAAACTATTTTTCGGGTGAATCTGGGAGGGGGGGGGGGGAGATTTAGGGGTGGCACCTGCCTGTTGGGTTGCGAGGATGTGTCAGAAGATGGCAAATATAGCCGTGGATTTTGTGCGGGGGGGGGGGGCTTTGGGACGTGTTCCCCCTTTCGTGTTATTGGTGGGATTTCTGTGGTTACTCCGGTTTACCTCGTCCGTGATGCCAAAACATGCGTGATGCCAAACATAATTGGGGTGCCCAAACATCCATCCCAATGTCGCAGGTTCCTCTTGTAAAAGTCTTGAGATATATTAAGGTACTTTTCCTGGGTAATTGAAGAGCATTCGTTTATAATGCAGCCAAATCCGCTCCTCCAGCACTCCCTTAAACAGTTTTTTTTTAAATTCCAAACACACTGTGGGTAATTCCACACGCAGTGCGAGCCTCATGATTGATAAAAACGAGATTGCGTTACCTGGAGTGCACGTGAGAGAGTATCTCTCCACCTCACCTGACGCTTCTGTTTTACCCGACTCAGTCAGATTAAGCGTAAGAGTGGTTTATAATGGATGTGTCGCTTATACCTTGCCGGATTACATTTAACTAATCCTGAGCAACGGAGACAATGCCTGTCTGCTTCGTATTGGCGAGGTGATTGTGTAGCAGCTGCACAGTGACTCACAGAACGCAACAACAACGAGCGTCCGTGTTTAGTCTCTAATCTCCTTAAATGAGCCGCACCTCGCGCAGGTTACAGACTAAACACGGAGCAGACAGACGCGATCTCCCCACTTAGTCACGCTTTGCTAATGGAAATGCGAGCAAATCCGTGTGGACGGCAGTCACCGCCGCGTACTGATCTGCACTCAGCGTGTTAATTCATCATGAATACGTTAATCCACGCATGGGTAAATGCTCTATCAGTTATAGGGGGGGGGGAGGTGTTTGACCATACTTCACCACGCTGGTCAGTGTGGCTTGGAGAAGTGGTGAGCCATCGGGTTGGGCCCCCCTACCAGGACCAGTTCAAATCTCACTTGCCACTTATGTCAGCAGCCGCCCGGAGTACAGCGCAGTTCGCTAACCGCTCCAATTCACTCGTTGACTCTGCCACCATCTAACACTAACCACGGTCTACGGGTCGGAACCTATGTTATTGTTAAAAGCCCGGTTAAAATATCAACTACAGTACATTACCGAACGTGTGCGAGATTCGATCGCGTCATATGTAAATAAACTCACGTGCGATGTATATTCGTGTCCACGTTAAAATCAAACACTCAATATTCTTTACATTTTAAAGAACATCAGCTCTCTTCTTGTTAAGTTGTCTTCCTCAGGACAGGTCCATGGTTCAAGCTCCCTCCATCCGATCCGAACTCGACCCCCCCCCCCCCCCTCTTGACTACATCACCGCACGTCGCTTTTATCAGGTGACGCCACCGCCACTGGATGCCGTTTAATGTCACGAGGACTAAGCGCGCAGTCATTCCCACCCGAGCAACACGTGCGGGACACTTGGTGATTATGATGATGGTGATGCGTGCCGCTTGTTCTAACACGGGTGGCTTAATGCCTACTTTTGCTTGCTGCCACTAAATTGTGCGTGGCAGATCCCGCGTCATTGTTAACGAGCGAGTCAGAATGCTGAACGGTGACGGGAAATGTAATGGAAATACATAAATGTCGGCAGAACAAAGGCACCCTCGGGTTGCGGAGCGTGACTTGTGTGAGCTTGTGGCCCGTGAGTACGAAAGTGTGTCTGGTTACTATGCGCGTCGGGGACGAGCGACTTGTGTGCCATCCCCATCCGCGGCGAATTGTAAGAGCTGGACGCAGACATTTCCCTGGGCCTCTCCTAGATCGACTCAGCCTTTTTTTATGAGGACATTGTACGTTACGTAAACATCAGCATTGGGAATAAAACAGCGGCCGGTCGTGGTGGTGCTGTCCACAAGCCCGTACCGGCTTTAATAGGCGCTCACTAACAGCACAAATCCCAATATAGTCTGCATGGCTGTATCAGATCGTTTGCCTTCGTGTGAGCGCACACATTTGGTAACTGCTTACACCACGGGCCTTCACTTTTGGCTGCATTCTGTGTAGGCTTATAAAAGTTTTTGTTCAAATCACAAAGTATGTTGAGCTTTATCGGACAATCTTGCGATAAACTCTGCAATTGGCAATGCTACCGCATACTCTTTGGTTCTTTCGGTGAAGTCACGTAGGCATAGAATAAAATAAATCACGACGTTTCGGGCGCAACACAAGCGTCCATCATCAGGTGGGAAAGCATGGTCTGCTGCTGAGGTAGACTTTTTAAATTATTATCAGCCTTGATTTATCCACTGCTGGACGAAGGCTTCCCCAAGCAGTCGCCATTTAAAAAAAAACAAGACCTTTAAGAGTTATTGTTACGGAAAGATCCATTGCCCGGGCCAAAGTCATTATCTCCTTGTATCAATACCCTTAGTCGAGTGTTTAGCGCGCATTGCGTTAACTCGCGAGCTCCGTTCGATTCCCGGCCACGACTAAAATCAGTGGCGAGTGATATCTGAACTGTTTCTACACTCCCCCACCAATCACTCTGTTTCACCAAAACCACAATGACCAGCGTGGTGAAGTATGGTCAAATAACCCCCATGATCGGCACGGCATGGGGAGTCATATAATTTACAAAGGAATGTACAGCATTATATATTTTTATCACTATGAGTAACATCGAACAAGGCAGCTGTTGTGAATGCATTGCGCAGCATTTGGCCACTCTCAGACAGCAAAGGTAATTTACTGGAATAGTGTCTACATCCCGTCTAACACGCGGCACGGTCAATAGCTTATGTCAGAGGGTCATGATTAGCCGCGTAACGATTCACTCCCTCCACACACATTCCCAGCGATTGGGTGAATTGTCACGAATATATCTCCAAGAACCGGTTCCTTTTCGCTTTGTTCGAACTCATGCATTTTTTTTTCATTTCTTCTTTATGCAGGCTTGTTCGCCTCCACGAGGATCAATCGTAGCATATGCATATCGTTTGCACGAACCATAAACAGTCTATTCCTGCGCGCAGATGCAAGGCATGTATCGAAGGATCGATTTCAACGCGTTAATCGACACATCTCAACGCCCCCTCACCGCAGTGTCTGTTGCGGGAAGCGATGGCGCTGCGATTGGCGCGCACTGCGCTACGATCTGGGCCACCTGGATTCAATCCCCGGTCATGAAATACGGTTGTCTTCTTAACGCGTCATGCAGAGTATCGATTTGTGAATCTAATCGAATTGCTGCTGGTAGGGAGTGGCGTAGCGCGAAACGGCGCCTGAGCCCCCTCCAGCCCCTGCGCGCCTGTGCAGTTGCACCTGCCTGCACACTCGAATTGATCCATTGGAATGAACCAATTACCATCCACAGTTTGGAGGAGAGGAAGGCAGATCGCAGAAATTGGGGGTGGGGTTGATCACAGCCAGGTCTGGCGTTACAGGTGCGCGGTGCGTTTGGTTTGGCCACCACGTGCGCCGATAACGCGCGCGGTGCGCGTCGGATTTTCCCCGAGTTCGAATCCCGCTCACGGCCACCAACACCGGTGACGATTATCTGAACCGGTCGTGGGCCTTACCTAGGTCGACTCAGCCTCAAACGAGTACCTGGTGCGGTGCGTAAACATCGCGACTTGGGATACAAAGGCAGCCAGGGGTGGTGCTGGCCACCCACCCCGTCGTGTTCCGTGCCGGCCCCTCGTAGGTGCTCGCTCACGGCACTTTCCCCAACTATTAAGGGTATACGGGGGATTATTGTATGGGGAAGTGAAGGCATAATGGTGAGCGCACTGCGCTTTAGTGAGCAGTGATAGCACCACTCGTTACGGGCCTCCCCGAGTTCGGCTCGGCCTTAAATTTGGATCGCTGGCGCGGTGTGTAAAGAGCGGGAGCACCCGGCAAGAGACAAAGAGGCGTGGTGCCATCACATCACCCTCCTCGCTTGCCGCCGCGACCTTTGATAGGCGCTTGCTTACGACGGATTCTGGCAACCAACAACGCGTTGCTGGTGCTATTCTCAGCGCGCAGCACAACGGCTAAGCCAGGGATAAGCTGCGTTTAAAGTTTGGTCATGTTTACCACTCGTAACGTGCAAGCAGAAATAATGCGGTTGCTTGCGATTTATAGCAGCACATCTAACCCCATCCCCCCCCCTCTAGGTGCGTGACGTCATTTATGGACGGCCATGAATTGGCCGTGCAGGCGTATTGTTGAAGGGGTGTGATGTGAGATTTCGACTCATTTTTTTCTTTCTGTTGCCCGATTTAGGGGCGACAACAGTGTAATTTGTCATAGGAATGCGGAATCGGCATTAACGATTAAAAATACCTGTGTGGAAATGAGTTCTGGCCGTAACTCTTTATTACATGGAGACTCTACCATGACCATCATGACAAATTATTATTTATTTATACCACGCCTTCCATGCAGTGCATCTCATTCAACAAATTATTGCATGATAGATGCAATGTTCAAAAACAATTGTCTATAAACAGTCTGCACAACAAACGAGCCGAAACAAAACAATAATTCAACGTGCTTGAGACTACTCTATCTGTGAAGGGCTTCCAGCTGTGGCACTCGTGTTCAAATCACTGACAGTTGCAGGTCCATCGCATTACATAAGGGCACATGCTGGCATAGCGATGGAACTTTAGGCGATGGATGCTGCCTAATTGGCTACTGGAGTCAGTTTATTTATTTTTTATTTCAGTTTATTTTTGGTATAGCCCTGTGAGCCATTCGGTTCTTGAATCGGGTGCAACCACAACAAACAAAAACACGAACAAGAAAAAACATCTTAAAGTGACTATGTGACTGTGTGAAAAACAGAAAATCCAAGAAAAAAACCCAGCAAAATATTCCTGAAAAAAGCACCGTACACCAACGCTGTGTGCAAGTCAACTTGAGTCAACTTGAGTCGCCGGTGGTGCTGGTGAACACCGGTTTTTGCGAGCGCTGAAAAGGACTGCCTGTCGTGAAAGTAACGTGGCGACTACATTCCTCCAGCAACCAGTCAGACGCTGCGGAGCTCACAAACAATTGGGCCACCCACCACTCTTGTTGCAACAGCTCCACGACCTTGTTGTTCTTTAACTGGGAGAGAACTTTGAACGTGAATGCTGCCCGAGCAAAACGGGAATGCGATTAATGAAAGTGAAACTGTTGTGTGCGCAAAACTATGATTGCCTGCGAGGAAGAGACTGGTATTAATGGTTGAAAACTTAGCACTTGCATACATTTATAACCTTATCTCTAACCTCCTAGCTGGAAAGCTAACCTTTCACGATATTGGAATCGTTTCTCTTGGCTCTGGTATGTAAAATATAACATAAAATATGCCTACGATCATTATCTACGTTGTCATAGTGCTTACATGCTCAAAAAAATCCCCGCCACAAACGCAGAGTCCACATAAAATCCATGCATGCTACTGACTAATAACACTGCATTTGGTTTGTAAAAATACAAATAATAAACCTGGTCCACGTGGATATGCAAGGACTTGCGATAAAACACGAGTACCAAATTTTGTCCTCACTTGGTCTCTGTTTAATCGCCTCTTCTGTGCGAGTCCGTGGCTGCCGGTCGTACGTGGTGGACGTGTGGGCGGGTGGCTATGGCGAACAGGGCTCAAGCCCCGCTGAAATCCATTTACAAGTTTGTATATAAACACAGACGATAGTGTGGTAAACCTCTCGGAGCCGTAGCCATCAGTTGAGGTCCAGGAAGGTCGGCACTAGCAGAACACATGGTGGACTGGCACAATCGGTGAACCCGCATCCCTGGTCGTGTCAGTCCACCACGTCCTCTGCTAATGGCAACTTCGCGCTCTCTTGTTTTCGGACATAAATGGTATATGTTAATTTAACAATTAATTTAATATTTTATTGAGTTGCTTTAGACAATTTACATTAAAAAAACAACAGTGCAAGATTACCATTGCCAGAATACGTGGCAGACGGGTGACATCAGTGAAACCGTACCCTTGGGCAAGTTAGCGCCGACCTTGCGCTGTCTTGTTTACAGACATTTCTAAAGAAGAAATAGTTGCTCTCATGTAACATTTATGTTATTAATTTGTGTATGGGTATATATATTTAAATCTTCCCGATAATATTTTACCCGACGCCTACGCCGACGCAGTTTTGACTCCTCCCTCTCGCGCGTGCGTTCTCAGATTTGACGACGTGCGGGGGCCCGGTCACCGTGTTGGGACCGGGCAACATCTCGTCCCCTGGTTTCCCAAATGAGTACCTCCCTCGGCAACACTGCGAGTGGGTCCTGCGGGCCCCGGGCCCCGATCAGCGCCTGTCCGTCATCTTCAACCCTCACTTCGACCTGGAAGGACACAACTGCAGGTGACTCAACACCCACGTTTATTAAGCACGCTCCTGCTGCTGCTCCTGCTGCTGCCGGTTCTGCTGCTCTGAAATCCTTGTCCCGGTGATTGTTTCAAGTTAATGTTGTTTTACGCAGGTGAGAACTCAAGAGACCAGGATAGTCTGTCTTATTTTCAAGAGTCGCCTGGGTTCACCATAATTATAAAAGCAAAGCAAATAATTGAACGTACCATCCTGAAGAAAATATAAATCCGACCAAAAACAATTGTGCCACTTGACAACACAAAGATATTGCACAAACATAAATTGATTGACAAATGCCCACCGCCGAGCCAGGCGCTGAGTTACCTTGTGCTGCACGGGGACAGCTGCCAAGAGGAGGATCTGCTCTCCGAGACATTTCGAGTGCTCGGGTGGGGCACGGATATTGTTTAGATGGGTGACCACCACGCACACCAGGGTGTCATAGGTGACTGCGGGCGACTGAGGTAGGAGTCAGTATAGCAAAATACTTTGTTGTACTGTACTCTAAGTACGCGCCCCGTCGTCACAACCCCCGCTAACCAGCTTGGCAAAGTATGATCCAATAGCCTGCACAATCCACAATGATTAGCCAGGCCCTCCAGCAGTAGATTGGCATGCACTGGTTGTGCGATTGCCTTGTATGGCATCTTTGAGAGGCTGTTATAGACTTGTATCATTCCGTACATGTTTCATGTTTGGCTCAGGGAGCACACAGATTATAAATGGGTAGTTCTACAGTTTTGGATGTACATTCCAGACACTTTTAAGATGTGGGTAATTATTAGCGTAATCATGAAGTGGCGTTTACTCAGCAAAGTATGTGAACCAATTAGGACTGTAATTCAGATATAAATCATTTGTCCGTCTTTCTTGATAAGGATGAAATATGCATAAAATATTGAGGTGTTGGCCATACTCAGACAAACTGACTTTTTCATCCACGCCAGTGTGGTGATGATACGTTTAGTATCATGTACGTGTCAAGCCACAAATAAGCCATAATTTCCTAAAGCTAATGATATTCACTTCAAAATAACATCCCATGCGTCATGTTATAACGATGTAGATATGTTGACTTTAAGGTTGTAATTATTACTACGATGACAATTAGCACGGTAGGATTGGGTACATATCAAGGAGCCGGTTCTGTCAGCTCTACATTTTATTTATTAATGAAACATCGGCACCAATGAGGGCAGAAAACCGTTATTTTTACTTGAATCAAGCTGGCCACACCCATGACGTCATTTATCATCGAATAGTTTCCAGCACACTGGTAGACTGAAGTTAGGCACGTGGCGATTAGCCACAACCATAGCGAGGGGGATGCTGGATGTGGTGTGCCATGTGCAGAAATATTTTCCGTCTCACTGACCCAGACAGACCCGCCTGAAATGGCACTGCCCACACTTGCCTCGGGTTCCAAAAAAACCAAGTCGAAAACAACATTGGCTCCAGAAAAACTGAGCTCGAATTTATCTGCTTTCATGAGTCACCATAGTATGTAATGGTATAGTTATGCTGCTTGTGGTTGAGTTTGAAAAGATGACTACGTCGGTGAAAGTTAGGAGACAAGTAATGTATACATGAACACAATATACACACGCACTGTGGAGTGATGACGCAGTGGTTAAGATACTACGTTATGAACCCCATCGCCCCGAGTTCGATTTCAGGCCATACCTAACATTATTCCTGGGTCCCCCCTCCCCTTCCCCGGCTCACACTGATCAGCATGGGGAAGTATGGTCAAACGCCGTGATCCATGCAACATGGGTAGACATTCATCCAGTAGTTGATTTGACAAGGGGCTGTAAATTATTCACACACCGCGATATTACTTTGAGATTTAGCTGCAGCCGGGGAGAGGAGTGGGCAGGTGCCCCTTCACTTGAAGCTAAAGGCTCGTGTCAGCTCATGAATCTTTCATACCTGGGTCGCGTAATACTTAGATTCCGTCTCAATGTTGTGTACATAAAGTGGTGGTGAAAGGTAATTTATATTAACCATGAATGCACCCACAGTGCCATCGGTGTTCCCAAAAATAGACTGACCTCAGTTGATTTCGCAGCGTTGTGTGTAATTTGCAGGAGGGAATAATAATTAACAAAATTGGAATCCCTCAATGAATTGTTGAGGGCAATTGATTGTGAAATTAGTTATTTGGCTTACTTAAAATTTTGGATGGACATTATTTGAGTATGAGTGTTAATTCAGCTGGCGATGGTACAAACCACAAAGGAACAAGATCCACATTCTACAACATGTTTAATTAACTAAAGTCCTCCTAGCTTTGTGTAAATTGTGATTGGTTAAGGTTATTGTCAATCCAATGAAGAACTTTGCTGGCGAAAGAAATGTCGTACTTGTATATGGAACTTATCCACAATTGCATCATGAGTCATGCACGCCACTTTTTCAGGCGGCATGCTCAAGGCACTATTTTTCCCTCCCTCCTCAAGATTCGGTGAATTGTCATGATTCGAGAGTCAAATATTTATTTAAATATAGTAGCGAATGCAGCAGTCTAATGGCCGGAGGCGTCAAATGATTCCAATACATAGCACATACACATACAAAAAACGTGCTTACCGTTTGAAAGCGGTGATTGTATGCTTATCGCATCCATCTACAAATTCTCTTCTATTTTGAGCATATCTTTCAATCTCAAAACGTGTGTTTGTTATCGGTAAAAAAAAATGTTGGAGCATTTAAACAAAAATTAGTGTAAGGTTGTGGGAGTTGAGACACTGTAAAGATCTAGGCAGGATCAACCCACAGATGCCTGCTCTAATCTCAGGAAGTCTCTGACCGTTATCTCCAGCCATCTCCGATATCTACACGTGCTTATGAGCCCGCAGCGTCTCCGCTAAAACCCCATATGGGAATCTCAGTAATCCCAGCAATCCCCCCAGCAAAGCATAAGTACTGCTGCACACCGCTGTGCATTGTGCATTGTGCATGCTCAGCAGTGGCGTGGCATAATTGGCATGGGCCCCGGTGTGAAGGAATGAAATGGGTGCCCTCTGTTCTATTTCCACCCCCTCACCACCGTTGCAGTTGCACCGCCTGCACACTCGATAACAACGCCACACGTGCACACCTCACACGCAGTACTGTACACACTGCACACAACACATGTTGTTCACAATAATAATTGCACACAATAGGAATTGTATATAATAAGCACTTGAGTTTTTTTGATTTGCTACACAGGTCATCCTGTTCAGCCAGTTTCCTAGCTATTTTACAAGAGAGATTCGTGGTTCGTGAGCACAGGAACAACAAAAAACATTAAAACTAGAGAGAACGAGTACGGGATGCTTCAGGAATTGTGTATGCACCTTACATTGTACACACTTCTTCTTGCGTATGGCATTTGAAAAGCAACTGGCAATACCCTATTATGGCTGTGCATTGAGTCTGGTGACCCATTCGATAGCCTCAGCAACTGCTTGGCGTGTAGCGTTCGTAGCTCCTGTGTGAGTGTGTAACGGACAGTGCTCTCGGTCCGTTCACAATTGGGCGACTTTGCCGTGTGATGTTGGAACGCAATTAAGCGCAGCCCATTTCCGCCTGTGCACGAATAACTGGACACAATAAGATGTGTACAGGCGCATTGCACATAAAGTACGTGCATCTCGTATACACTGGTCATTGCACTGTCTTCACTCAAAAGCAGTTGAGTGGCACGCTCATGCTGCGTGGGTCACACACGGTTGTAACAACAACAACTAAAATGTTTGTAAAAAAAAAGACTAACGAACAGTGATGTAACCACGCTTTACCCCACCACCCCAGGCGATGTGCAGTCGACTTTGTATCACAGTGAGACTACTTCATCGTTCATCATAATGAGATGCCATGGTAGCGATATATTAACGACCTCGCCTACTGTACAAGAGGCTGTGGGGTTGATCCCGACCTTGTCGCCTGCTGTATATTTGGAGTTTGCATGTTCTCCTCATGGTCGTGTGGATTTTTTATCTGGGTCCTTTGGTTTTTCCCACCACATTTAGAATCAACGTGCGTTTAGAGTATTATTTGGCTGCTATGCATTTCCACATTGTAAGCCACTTCGTTGAGCTATCAGTTGTGGCCAGGTCGCTTCTAGAAAAAGAACTTTATCGCTCAGTGGAGCCCTTAGCTGGTAAGATAAAAATATAGTTTAGTTGTATAGTTTTTAAGAGACGATACAATTGAATACAATCGATAAAGTAATTGTCTAAGTTTCAAGAACCTTGAATGGGAAATGAAACCTGGGCTTCTCAACAGCGAGGCGATTGTGCCATCCACCACGGTCTGTGCGATACCGACAGCCGCATCCTTCATTTATGCGCGTTTGACGCATCAAGGCGAGAATTGTACGAGCCGGTCAGATAGTGACCTCTCTGGGCGATGGAAACGGACCGCAGGCAAGAAATAAATGCTTTATGTTTGCGTAGGGAAGTCTCAACGGACGCTCAGGACTTTTTTTTATGGACAGTCCTGTTTGAGGATGTTTGGCCAGTTCGCGTTTCAGGATCTTTGCATGCGGGCGAGATACCAGAGTATTTACGCAAATCAGCCGACAGAGTGGCTTCGCCTATGAAGTGTGCAGGCAGTGCTATTGCACCAGAGCCCACACGTCAAAGGGGCCCATGCTATTGAAGAGGTTGTTAGGAGGGGGGGGGGAATTTGTCAAGTGCCCTGCCAACCACACTATACCACTGTAGCCAACACGGTCAGGGGGATAACACTGAAAACATCTGTACAGCAACCTACTTGCTGTACTATCTTAGGCAGGGCACCTCATAGCCCTGCAGGTGAAAGAGTCTTATTCACAAGAAGAATAAATATGTGTTATCCATCACACACATGTGTGTGAACAATTGATGTCAAACATGAACACGTGGACACGTGTGGGTAAACAAATGAATACACACATATAAAATGTGGACGTGTGTGTGTGAACGAGTACTCTCACACGTGGACATGCAAGGTGCACCCACCCACGGTTATCGTTCACCGCAACAAAACCACGTGCGTGGGCGAGAGGTGACTCCCTGTTTCGACGCGGCGCCCGCACACGCGAGCACGATGGGATAAACAACAGACAATCAGGGTGGTCTGCCACGAGTTAACAAGACTAACACATGCCTCCCGTTGACGGTATCGCGTGGACAGTACCTCAAAATCAATCAATGGAATGTACGGCCAGGTGACAGCTCATTGAGACATTTGTACTTTTTCTTACAAGGGAGACACTGTGGATAGTGTATAGCTTGCCTGCTGCAAAATTCACCCTAAAATGTGCCCCATCCAATCAGACGTGAGACAATAAAACAATCTGGAGCCTGGTTAGTACTTGGATTGGAGGCTGCCTGGGGATGCCAGGTGATGTAAGTTTGTGCTACTGGAGCTGTGTGTGTGTGAATCTATTTATGTGAATTTTAGAATGTTGCTCCATAATATGTTCAGGTTTACTCCAAGTAGTCCAATTTCCTCCGACATGAAGCTAAACACTCATTGATGGAGTTGGCCACACATCCCAATACCTCAGTGAGCCATTCCTGGATATGGTACATTATTTTTTTTTATAATGCAGGTTGATGAGTTTTATTGTCATAGTGTAGTGGCTTTTATACAAAATAAACAAAAATAATTTCTGTATTTCAACAATTTCTGCTGCACTGATCCATCTTAAGAATTAGCCAAAAATAATTTACTTGGAAATTCCCACCACGAAACCTCAGAATAAGTAATCGCGGAGCTGGTTTATTGCTTGAATACGATTTAGGATCAGGGTTTGCATATTGCTTGGAGGCAAATTACTTGGCCAATTGGTGATGGGGATTATATATATTATTGTTCAGCACCAGAATTAAAGCAATTTAGTGCTGTAGGTCAATTCTACCCTATGAGTGAAACCAATTTAAGTCTAGGCACTAATTTTTATGGGGCCCAAGTTTTTTTTTCTCTAGATGGAAAAAATATCCTCAATTATATTTCAGCTGAACATCATTAGAAGTCACATCAGTCAGTCATTCATATCGTATTTGTTCTCAATTAGGGGAGTGCCACAAAGTAGGCAATCTCAGTTAAGATGTCAAAGGATTTTAACAGCACATGCGAAGTGTAATTGTAAAGATGATTCGCTATAGAGTTTTAGTGCATGGCTTTTTTAATGGAATGATTCTTCTACATGCTCCAAACTGAACGCGCCAAAATCACCAGCACAGCGTGGATGAAAAAAGTCAGTTTGTCTGCGTTCAGCCAACACCGTGATGTCTCCCTAAGCAAGAAATACGGACAAATAATTTATATCTGAATTACAATCCTGATTGGTTAACATACTGTGGCTACTTGGAAATATGTATGTTGACTTATTTCGCACCACACGTAGCCATATTTGGGAATTGGAGGTGCGGGGCTAAATATTATACTTGTGGTTCAGCCAAACCTTTAACGTGTCTGAAATGTACATTCAAAGTTGTGTTACTGACCATTAATAAAGAATCGCCAGGAAAGTCACGAAAAAAAGTTGCACACGAACGACGCATTCACGCAAGCACCCGATGGCCCATTTTTTAGTTTTTAAATGAAACATCTTTTGAATTGTATTATGTTTTGAATTAGATAATTTTATTTCTTCATTAAAAGCTTACATCATTTTACATCTGGAAGACTTAATTGAAAACTACATTTCGTGTGAATTTCCACTCGTCATTAAGTAGATGGCCTTGCTGGGGGTTTGGTTCGATGCGGACTTTCACCTGTTTGGGATTGCGGGATCGAGATAAGGCGACATAGAGCTGCTGGCCGTGCGAGAAGACCGCCGTCTGCAGATCGATTCCGTCATTTTCATGCAGGGGGCGCTGCAAACCTACTCGCCCCCTGCATGAAAATGACGGAAAGTGCAGCGTTCATCACAGATAAAGTTGTGCGCTTATATAAGAGTATGGGATGATACGAGTCTTTAGAAGTACATTTGAACTACAATCCTAATTGTTTGACATCCAGTCCCCAAAATTACCAATCTCTCTCTGCATATGGTTGGTGGAATGACAACTTAGAAAAGTCTGTCCAAATTTTGTTTTGCCAGGATGTGGCTGCAGTTGATTCCTTCGATATCTCCATTGAATTTTCGGAGTTCGCAGTGATTCACTGTGCTGTCGACGGCTTTCTGTGAATTTCTACTTTAGAGGTAGTGGGCACATCTGCCATGAAGCGTACATACTTTATTTGACTGTTCAATATTTTGGAGGTATTGTGCTCATGATTACCCACCAATTGGGAGTGTCTGAAATATACACGTGAATTAGTGGAACTGTCCCTTCGAGGGTCTGTGAATGTGTGGACCATTGGACTCCCCTTTGGCACACAGGGATCGCTGTGGTCCCCACTTCGTTCATCATAATTATTATGCTTGTTTGATCATGGAATGCGTCAATGGCTTACACTTGCGAATGACGTCACGGGAACTTTAATGTCCACTGTGAAGCGGACAACAGCGTGTGGTGTTATTGTGAATTCACCTGCAGCAATAAGCGGGGGCAGCCAAAAATTCGAACCACAAACCTCTGCAATGAGCGGCGAGCGCCACCGGTAGCCCGCGTCACCCCTCCCCCACCGTTAACCACACATTTTTCAAGCGCGACTCTTCGACTCGGAAAACACCGGGGCAAGAATATCGCGTAATCTCTTTGTAAACAAACCCTCATCTCTGGTCTGGGTAATGAGTTCCTGGCGTGATTATGTTTGTGCCGCCATGCATTCATTTCTCTGAGATGCTATGGCGCGTGTTTTGTGTGCTCGCTCATCCTCGTGTCCGCTCGCTCGAGATCTCGCCGTTGAGATAGTGCTTCAAATTCACTGCATGAAAAAAAAACACTTAACTTCCGGATTTTTGCGGCGATGACTAATTTTGCTGCAGGGCAGCGTACACTGGATTTGGGAGCAAAAAAAAACAAGGCAGTGCAGTGATTTCTTAGGAAGAGTTGGCGGTGTTTCGGTGAAAAGCTGGTAAATTGCTTTTAGTTCGGATAAGAATCTCAGTTCGCAAGAGTCGCTGATATTTGTTGTTGGCAGGCTGATGAGCGTAATCATGAATTCAGATGACTACAAATCAATCGTGCCGCTGCTTGTTAAATTGCTAAATAAAGGAGATTGAATGATTAAATCTGGCCTCTTCTAGTGCTGACTGATACAGCTTCACAGTGCTGACTGATACAGCTTCACAGTGCTGGCTTCACGGCACCGCAAGCAGTGGCTCCCGGACAATACAAAATCATTCATTCAGTGCAGCATTCTGTATATGTAAAGCAGTGCATGTCTTAACCAAACTACTACTGAGCTGAAATGTGTCGTGCTTCATTGAGATGCATCACATAGTCAAACGGCTCTTCCATATAACTGTGGAATTTATGTTCCTGGCTCAGAGCAAACAATGACGGTGGGTTTTTACCCTTTTATCTGGCACAAAAACTGACACCTTTATACAAGGGATCATGTTTGCAATAACCACAACTTCTTGCCGCTTGTGTTGTGGTTATTGCAAACATGATCCCTTGTATCAAGGTGTCAGTTTTTGTGCCAGATAAAAGGATTAAAACCTATTACTATATCTTGCTACTGGCAAAGGAGGTCTCATAGTGTAAATGACGGTGGGCTTTCCAATATTTTTTTGGGTGATGGGTTCCCTTTCACTTAATTTTAATCTCTGCGTGCATTAAAAATAGCACCCAAAAACATACAGGCCACACATTAAAACTCCCCAGTGTTGTTCTACCGGATCATGGGCAATAAACTCAATGTTGGTAATGTAACCCATGGTTAACAATGCATGGTATTCCCAGACAGTGTCCCATCCCCGTCTTTAACTGGGCTCAACCCTACTCAGCTACTGAGATCCAATGAAAGTGGGCGCATTAAGGGTGATTTTTTTTCTGCCTCACAGATTAAACTCTTCATAGATTCTGCAAAATCTTATTTCTCATGACTTTTACCCTGCTGCTGACTTTTTGTTGTTGTTTTATGAATTGAATTGTCTAATCTTACACCCACAATCTCCCTTGCAACACAGAGTCGGGTTACAATGTGCTTTGCCCCTATGCTAAATTCGTAGGTCACGTCAATAAATATTGGTGCAATATTTAACAGCTTTTTTTTACTTTTTTTATTTAAAGCTTTCGTGACTGCAGGGATTCATATTCTTGGTTCTTTCGGTAAAGTCACGTAGAAGGGAAACAATTAAATAATAAAAATATGAGAAAATTTTCTTGCTGTTGTTTTCACACCTGATGATGATTGCTTGTGTTACAGTCGAAACGTCGTGAGAATTGTATTGTTTTATATTTGTATTATTTTATTGTTTCCCTTCTACGTGACTTTACCGAAAGAACCAAGAATATACCTTTTTTACCATAAGCAATGGGCCATCAGATCCTTTGCACAGCGAGGGTGAGAACTATATCAGAACGCATGACACAAGCAAGAGCAAATAGTATCATCACTCATTCTGTTCAGCATTTTACATTTGTTTCCAGTTTGTTCACATCGATTGTATTGTGCACTTCCTTTATGCAAGGTCACGCGACAGCATTGGTAGTGCTCGCGGTGCAGTTTTTTGGGAGATCCCAGTATCAGTGGCGATGTTTGCATTGGGGTGTGCAGGTTTGACTATGTGGAGCTGCGGGACGGTGATGGGCCCTCGGCTGACATCATCGGTCGCTACTGCGGCATGGTGGCACCAGGCCTGCTCGTGTCGTCGGGCTCCGCACTCTTCGTGCGCTTCGAGTCGGACTATGCGCACCAGGGCGCCGGCTTCTCGCTCCACTATGAGATTCACAAGTCGGGTGAGTGCACGCGGGCCCGCTGAGAGCTGTGCAGGCAGATTTGATAGAGACACAGAGTTATGTTTCCTTGCATCAAATTGTCACCCAAGTCGTGAAATGGGGTGCAGGTAGAGGCAGTGAATCGGCACGTGCCTACTCATTAGGTGTTCACAATCAGCAGCAGCAGCAGAAGTGACAGCACTCCGACTAAAGCTTGATTGTCGCTGTGCCAGTTTCAGGTTCCGACGACTGCTCGTGGAACTTCACGGCACCCTCCGGGGTTCTCTCGTCACCCGGCTTCCCGGACAAGTACTCGCACTACCTGGAGTGCACCTACACAGTGTGGGCGGGGCCACGGCGCGACCTCGTGCTCCGCTTCACACACTTTCATGTTGAGGGAGTCAGCAGAGGCCCCCCTGGAGCGGGGCCCAACCCCCACCTGGCCGGGGGAGTGACCGACTGCCCCTACGACCGTCTGGAGGTGTGGGACGGCCTGTCGAACGGTGAGTGGACGTGTTGGGCAGGTGGGTGGGCTGAGTGTGCGAGTGAGTGGGCAGACATACGGGCCGATGGGTGGGTGGACAGGTGATGTGGGTTGACGGGTGTCCTGCTCAGCGGGAATCTTAGTGGCGATGGATGGTTGAGTGAGTTCAATTGTGAGAGAAGCCAGTTACATTCTAACTGTAATTGCCCGTTGTCCACATGCGAATATATATTCAATAATCCATTGCTCCCCTGATAATTCGGCCAACTAAAGGTGCTGCTGTTTGCTGCTCTGTGGAGTTGGATCACAGAAATCACGTGGGAGGAAACTGGAATGACCTGGTAGAAAAACCCACCATGTAGTTTAAGGGTCACATTTATAGGTCCCCACAAGCAAGTGGACTCGTAAACCCACTTGCCGTACTACCATCCTGGCCATCTCGCAACCCAGTGAGTGGGTTTGGGAGTCTCATAAATCTGCAAAATCCACCAACCCTTCCTTCTAAAGTGCTGAATCACAGGTGTACATTGTCACCTTTTCTCACACGGTTTCTGAACAATAATTGGCGGATGTTGTTTGCGTCTATGAGTGATTTGACACATTGGTAGATAGCACTGTCTCCTCAGTGCAATCATGCTCACTGCTTTTACAGCAATGAGATCAATGGGCATGAAGGTGGTGACGGTGGACATTAAATTGGGTCGTCGTTTATTTATTATGGTTTAGTAATTGGAATGCAACCTGAAAAGAACAGAGGTTATGAACTTTATTTAATAAATCAAGCCAGAACCACATTAATGCTAAACACAGCGCAGCCTTGTGATGTCTTGGTTGTTTTTTGCAAAGTGGTTTGTGGTGGGGAATGTCTTGTAATGTGCAGAATCCATTGGCTGTTGGCCGTGTTCTTTGTATAAATAGGAGAGCCGCCGAGCGCCAGGGTGGGAGAGAGACTCTGCGGGTTGGGTCGTGGTGGAACAGACAGGGAATCCGTGCTTGGAGAAAATGCACGTGTCCACTCCTAGGTATTTAAATTGTCCAGAGGCTGAGCTTGAATTTCATAAGGAAGCTTGGAAAGATATTTATTGGTAGGTAGTTTATGCAGAGCGGTGCATAGTGTAAGGAACTCATTGAATACATAGAGCCGGGCATGAGTGACCGGTGTAAATTCTAATGATGTTGATTAATTTCCCTAAAAGTGTCTCATTTAGAGCCAACCCAAACGTACAGTGGGTGTCCTATGCTGAGGCTGGCCAGTGGAGAAAATGTGGAGTTGTCACCACCGGCTGATAGTGGCCAACGGAGACGAGTTCCTCATCATATTCACTTGAACAGACAGACATTTGACTGGACGCTGAGGTTTTCTTGGGTAACACACCACATCGTATATGCTGTGTTACATTTGTGTGGATGTGAGTTGGCTTCTGGAGAAAAAAACTAATTTGAAGGAATAAAATTCCTCTGAACACCGAAGGAGACATGTCAGCATTTTAGCTGCATATGACTGATACGGACTGGATGAGTGGCTTGTCTCATCATAAAGCTCATGTTCTCCCACACCTCATGTGTGCCTGGGTGCGTGCGTACAGCTCACTATGTGGACGTGTGCCATGCGTGGCACAGGCTGTTGTCCCAGACCTTGCAGAGTTTGGCAGACGTGCAATAAGACTTTTGCCCTCTAAAAATCATAGTTGACGGCGTGGATTCATCCGATGGGCTCAATTTTAACAGTTTATACACAATCTTTAATGCGTACATTACTATTAACATATACTTTTTATGCTTCAAATGTAGAGTAAAAAATCATATTTAGAAAAAATATCTTAAAAAATGTTTTTGTGATAAGAGGCACTGCAGCTGAGGGGGTGGGTCTTGTGTGCCTCCACAGTACGTGCCGATTTAGTTGTTCTGCTTAACATTCGTGGCATTGCCCACGTCGCATGCCCCCTGGCCTCCACGAATCCCAGAGCCGTCCACCTGCCCCCCCACCCCATCGTTGCACTGGAGTCATCGCCCCCTGCCCCCTGATGGCACTGTCCACGGTGCCGTTTATCTCTGCCACTTGTAACGCGACGGTTTGCGCCGCTCACGGTGCTCTGTGTGTGCAGTGGGCCCCCTGATTGGGCACTACTGCGGACGGCGTGCGCCCTGGGTGCTGCGCTCCTCCACGGGCGTGCTCTCCCTGCGCTTCTTCACCGATGCCGCCGTGGCACGCGACGGCTTCTCCGCCAACTACACCACGATGCCAAAGAACCTGACTGAGGGTGCGTGTGCCCGAAGGCTCTCGGCCACTGGCAGCAGATGAAATAGTTTTTATTGTTCTTTAGGGGGTGGGTTTTCCATGTTGTGCCCGAACTCACCATGATGGTGATCTGGACAATGCAGTCCTGAAATACTTTACACCGTTGCAGTGGTCGGATCTGAAAGACCCGTACAATATACGTTCACTCATGACATATGACTGATTGATCCTTTTATGCAATAGGATTTTAAATGGCTTGAATAAGGTCTTCCCAAGGGCAACACACCGGGTCCCTTGGACACGAGGCTGCATTCAGGTGTTAAAGTAAACAAGAGCACCAGATGGGTCAGAGCAATGAGCTGGCTCCACTGAGGACAAGTCCTGGTTTCATTCAACAGTGATTGAATGACGCTCTCAAGTGTGTAGTAGGTTAATGGTCTCGACCTTATCACAATGACTCCACACACAACAACAACAACAACAACAAAACCCCATTACATCACACATTTGTTTTTTGACGTAATTTTTCGAAGCAGTTTTTTTCAGAATTCTGACATTCGGAAGTCATGGTGAGGTACGATGTTATCAATGCCATTGGCCATCGTGACCTCTTGACCATGAGGTTGCCAAGATGAAGCTCATCGGCACAGGAGCAGCATTCCGAGTCATGAGATTTTATTCACATCGCAAACTAAGTTGACTCAACCTATAATCATGATCAGTTGTCCATGAAAGAGGCATTTCAAGAAGCCATACAATGCGCAATGCCATCTTAAATATCAGTCACATTATACTCGACTATTCATCTTGCAAACCATTCACGGCATTTATTCCGAACAATAACACGCAATTTTCTCATCGACACCGAATTGAGCACAACATGAAATACAAGACAGCTCCACCCATCTCTACAGCACGGCACGCTCATTTCCACGTATCCCGACCACGCTTGTTGTGCTCGCAGGGTTTGAATGCTTCAAGCCGCTTGGAATGGAATCGGGAGAAATCGAGGATGAGCAGATCATGGCCTCCTCCTCCTTCGTCTCGGACCACTGGGGCCCCGAACTGGCTCGTCTCAACAACCAGTACAATGGCTGGACGCCCGCTTCTGACCTCTCACGCGAGTGGATACAGGTGCCCCTTTAAATGAAATCATCCACACACGCACGAGCACGTTTGCCATACTCGCCCAAATGCGGCCCAAATGCAGGCGTGCTCTCGGGAAGCAGGAATTTTAAAATTAAACGCTTGGAGCAGAAGAATGTCAGGTTATTTTATTTTACCTTTTGATGACTTCCTTTATTGTGTTAAACGCAGGTATTATGAGCCCTTTGTTTCGTGCGTTTGCTACGTTTGCGCCTCCAAGGGAGTTCTGTGAAAAACGTGTTGTCATCACCATGTGTGCGTGTGTCCACGCGACGGAGTTACACTTAAGCGTAATACACACGCGTGCAAGCTCGGTGTGGTACGCAATCGTCGGCACACTGATGGGCAGGCCCCTGCTCGAAAGGGACTGACTCAAATCGCACAATAATTCATATGAGATCATTCAGCGAGCACATGCGGGAGACACATGGCGCGTCAATCGGCACCCTTTCACCCCACCCTAAGCACGGTTTACACGTGCTCAACACCACCACGGTTGCCTAAACTGGCCGGCACACCGTGTCCGCTGCGGCATGCAAAAGCAATTAACTCCGGCCACCGCCACATCCAAATGTTATGCCGCTGTTAAAAACAGCGCTGGCCTGGAATTCCACGCAGCACCAGCTCTGGGTGGTACCTGTTTACTTGGGCTAGAACGTACACGTGCATCGGTGTGTGCGTGTGCGCGAGTACGCACGTGTGTGCATGTATGCTACAGATTCGGGTCCTGGGCAGCTGCAGGGCACGATTCAGTACATGCATAGTTTCCTTCCAGTAAATTACTACAGACACATTCCAGCACCCGCTCACTTTCCGCTCACCCGCTCGGCCGCTCACTCCATCGCCTGCTCGCTCACTTGCTCGCATTTTGGGTGGGGGGACGACGACGAAGGGGCTTGGTATGGGAGGCACGTACTCTATTGGGCAACAGGAACGTAATATATGTGTGCATTTAAGAAATACCCTCTGGGGATCACGATTAGCACTGTTGGTATACATTTCTGCTGACTGTGTTTTCGCAAATGGGTTCTTTAGCATGACGGAATGGGCATTAAACACATTGACGCACACACGCGCACACGTGCACGTAAGCGCATTAACTCCAGCTCGCATAGAGAAAGGCAACGCTATTATTGCATAATAATTGTTTGCTATGCTCTTAACAATGACATTAAATACAGTGAAAACCAGTATTATGGGACTTAACATTTAGGGAATCTTTCGGTCACGTAGTCACGTAGGTAGAAATAAAACAAAATAAATCACGACGTTTCGATAGCAACACAAGCCATCGTCTTCAGGTGAAAATCGCGACGGCCGCGATGTCTGCTGCTGCTGCTGCGAGCACGATGTCTTATGCGCTACGGAAGCTCATTAACTTTGCACTATAATCCAACGTGCTAATCTAAGTTCATTTCCTTTAACATGCCACGCTATTTATTACCTTGACACTATAATACCCCGTTAGCACTACTTCGGCTACCTTTGTTCTCAAAAACTTATACAAACTCTTGCTGGTAACAGTTTCCCTTCACAAGGCAGCAGACATCGTGCTGCTCACAGCAGCAGACACAGCGGCTGTCGCGATTTTCACCTGAAGACGATGGCTTGTGTTGCTATCGGAACGTCGTGATTTATTTTGTTTTATTTCTACCTACGTGACTTTACCGAAAGAACCAAAGAGTATGGATTCCTGCAGTCACGAAAGCTTCAAATCAAGATTAATTACATACTATTGGTTAATGTGTGCATATGCTTCTTCGCCAAGATCAATTTATTGTCGGATTTATTTTCCAGTTCCCGTGCGTGGATATGGTTTTTCTTATGGACATGAATGAATTAATGAGACGTTCTTCGTAAGTGGCCGGGTCCGTGTGGCCGGTTGCGCGACCCATTCCATTTCCCATGTGCTCAGGCGCCGTAGTCTGTTTTAATGATGGGTTATTTCTGTGCTTTGCTTTTTTTTATCCTCTCGCATGGGAATCCTCACTGTTAGCGCTCCTCCCTGCTGCCGTGGTACGTGTACTGCGGAAAGTAAATACGACCAGTCAGAACGCCAGTGACGCGTAGTCGGCATCCGGAGTGCATTTGTGGTGACGGATGCCGTAGGATCCAACTCACTTTAAGTATACAGTTCTCCCACGTGAGAGCGCAATTACGATGACCGCGCTAAAGTTTTTTTTTTACCACCAGGTAAGGCCCACTGAGCTATGCAGCTCTTTATCGGGAGTGATCTGGCCACAAATGACAGCTCAACAAAAGTGGTTTATCATGTGGAAACCTATAGCAGCCAAATGCTCTAAGTGTACGTTTCTAAATGTGTAAGGGAAAAACCAGAGGAGCCAGAGAAACATCCACGTGACCGCGGGGAGAACGTGCAAACTCCAAATATACAGCAGGCGTCAGGGTCGGGATCGAACCCACGACCTCCTGTATACCAGGCGAGGTAGTTAACATCTCGCCACCACGGCGCCCCTAATGCGGACATTCACAGCGTTTATTGCCGTGATGCATAAATGCATGGGTGCGCAGCAAATGCAGTCTAAATATTTATGCATGCGTCCGTGTGTATCACGGCTGGCTGAGAATCGAGATCTTTCATCTCCAGGGGTTTACCTGAAGCTTCCGCCTGTGAAAATAACATAATGGACACATAACCAAATGCATATATACAAAGATATGTACACATTCACACAAGTTAAAATCCATGCACGGTAATGCGTTGACAAGACTGATACAGGTGTATTAGTCATGACAATTAATTGGGCTGTTTTATGCATCGTACCAGCCAGCTGTGCAAGAACATCTAGAAACTACACAAGGCCAGGTGATGGATGCACGTGTTTTGTTAGACATTGTGGTTATCCCGTGCTGTTGCGCGTACCGTAACGTCGTTAGGTTAGTCACCCCACTTTCATGCAGACACGTGTGCATACACACAAATACAGAGTTTGTCTGATACGTAATGTGAGCAGATGTACCATGGCCTGCATATAATAGAGGTTCTTTTTTTTGAACGGTCGATCCCTGAAAATGTAAAAGAAATGGAAAAACTGCACTCACCGATGTTCAAGACGTGGGAAATACTGACCGTGAGCTGCGTCGTCTCCACACTGCGCATAAAATGCATGCCCCCGGCAGTCCCAGTCCAGCACTCTACTACACTGTACAGCAACTACAAAGGCATTGTGATTTTATTGTGACTTTCAATGGTTCCACTGGCAATGTTGATGCTTTTTAAAATTATATTTTTTATATTATTTGTTATCATATGAAAGCAAAATATAACATTACAAGCTGACTAAATAGCCTCAATATGGTATGTATGAAAATGATGTGGGTTTTGATAACAGAATGGATATACCGTACCACTGAATTAGCCCGGTATTTCGATGGCACACTAATGACTGTTGGTACACGGTGCAGTGTGCCTAGCGAGTGAGTTGCCGTAGACAGCGGCTGTGAACGGGGCAGACAAGAAACAAAATCCAGCTGCGGAAAGAGCAGCAGCACTTGTCGGTGACGAGGGCAGAGGTAGCAGCTCGGGTGACAACCTCTTGAGGTACGACAAACCGGAGCCTGTCTTGGGCAAAAGATCGTCTCACAAGAATACCAGAAGTGTGGGGAAACTGCGTGTGAATGCATTGCCTTTGAGTGGTGCCTCATTGCACAACTTAACAAAAAAACGGGACTTTTAATGTCCCGGGAAAACTTGCTGATTTCCCAGGACCTTAAAAATAAAAGGATGATCCTGAGAAATCCAGGACAGGTGGAAACCCGAGCAGCAGCAGAAGCAGCGGTGGTAACGGCACCAGATTGACGATGGCACAGACTAATCGGCACGGGCGCTTCCTCTATTTTGTTTAAGTGTACGAGCAACGCCACCGGCAATTACTGCGCCTTTTCCTGTGGAAAGCAGCCTTTGGGCAGCCTTCGGCAGCCTTTGGCCAATTTGTCCCCGAATTCACCGACCTCTCTCCCCCTGTCCCCCTTTCCCCTCCTCTCCTGTGGCTCCAATCCCAGCCGTCGTCTACCACCGTCGTCATGCAGCGACGCTGTGAGAAGAGAAACTGTGTGTGGGGAGTAAGGGGTGTGTGTGGGGAGTAAGGGGTGTGTGTGGGGAGTAAGGGGTGTGTGTGGGGAGTAAGGGGTGTGTGTGGGGAGTAAGGGGTGTGTGTGGGGAGTAAGGGGTGTGTGTGGGGAGTAAGGGGTGTGTGAGGGGAGTAAGGGGTGTGTGTGGGGAGTAAGGGGTGTGTGTGGGGAGTAAGGGGTGTGTGTGGGGAGTAAGGGGTGTGTGTGGGGAGTAAGGGGTGTGTGTGGGGAGTAAGGGGTGTGCGTGGGGAGTAAGGGGTGTGTGGGGGAGTGTCGGCGTGCTGATGTTGGCCGCCTTATCTGCAGTCGTCTCGTACGCTGCTGCTGCTGCTGATGACGTTGTTGTTGACCTTTTCATAATCACCCTCATCACCATCGGCCGTTGCCTATCCACTGCTGGATGAAGACATCACCAAGCCGTTAATATTTCTCACAGTCATGCAATGTAAAAGAGTCCATCACACGAGCCGAGTTCATCGCTCCGTATCGCACGTTTGATGTATTGGTTTGTCTGATTCAGTTCTGCGTTGACAAAGTAGCAGTGTCGATCTGCTCCCACATGGTCATAAATAAAGTAAACAAATGAATGAATTGGCTTTTCTCGAGACATTTTCATTTATTTTACATTGAGAGAATAGCTGGAGATTGTTTCCTGAGAAGACAGACTTGGGTTATGGGGGATTTAAATCCAACCACTGCACACCATGGGCTGTTTGGTTTTCTTTGCACGATCAGACTGAAGGGTCGTACCACCTCCCCCCCCCCCCACTTATGTGAACCGAGAACCAGTGCAGATTTCATTCAACACAATCTAAACTCGCCTGGTTCGTAGCACAGCGCGCTAACCACTGTGCCACCGCTTTCTTCCAACCACCCCCCACCCCCCTCCCAGTGAA